GACAGGGCCTGCCCCGCAGCCCGGCTTTCCCACGCGCGCTGACCTCGAAATGTACGCTCCACCTCTGACATCCCACAGAGCAGCGACAGTGCGAGTTGCCATTGCTCACCCCTGGCGCACGCGCTAGTCCCAGCGCTGTAGCTCACAACGTCCAGCTCGCACCTCGCACCTCACGACGGCCCTGGTCGACAGCGCCGGGATGCAAGAGTACCCTGTGCCCCCGTGGGATGCCTCGTGCCCGTAGTCTCTGCTACCCCCCGCGTGGAGTACCTTGATGACCCGCGGGATGTCTCGTGCTCGAAGCCTCTGCAGCTCCCCGCATGGGCCCAGGGGCGCGGCAAACGCCGAGCGAGTACGGGGGGTGGACGCGGGGTGGCGAGCCCAGGGTTGAGTGAAGATGGAGCGTGCGCGGGGGGGTGGCGAGTGACGGCCCTTGGCCACCAGCGCCGGGATGCAAGAGTACCTTGAGCCCCCGTGGGAGGCCCCGGGCCCGTCGTCTCGGCAAGCCCCCGCGTGCATCCTGGGCCGCACTGTGGTCCTCCAGGGTCGCAGCAAACCGCCGCTGATGTTTGTGAGCCTGTAGAGCGACAAACCGCTGCTGAAGAGAGTGGGCAGCCAGCCCCGCTGAAGGCTGGATGGGGCATCCGGGGGCGCAGCAAACCGCCGCTGAGAGGAGAGTGGTGCCTAACGGCCGATCTCCCACTGCTGGTGTGGCCCAGGGTGGGCAGGCAGCAGCCAGTGGACTGACTCGCTGGGGGCGGTGCTGCCACCCCGAAGCCCGACGCATCCAAGGGGGGGTGTGGTGTGGTGGGCCCCCAAGGAGCCGCTGACCGCTGCTGTTTAATGGGAGGAGGTGCCGTGCTCGTAATCTCAGCTGCTCCTCGCGTGAATCCAGGGTCGCGGAATCGCCGCACTGGGTTGGGTGAAGACGAGGCGCCCGCGAAGGGTGGCGGCAGACGGCCCTGGTCAGACAGCACCGGGATGCAAGCGCATGGGCCCCCGTAGGAGGACGCGCGCCCGCGCGGCCGACGTGTGAGGGGTGTGCCAAATTGGGTGCGGCGCCGCCATGCCAACGCAGCCACTGGGGCCTTCGGTGGAGCTCCCTATGGGGCCACGAAGCGTGTGAGGGGTGTGCCAAATTGGGTGCGGCGCCGCCATGCCAACGCAGCCACTGGGGCCTTCGGTGGAGCTCCCTATGGGGCCACGAAGCGTGTGAGGGGTGTGCCAAATTGGGTGCGGCGCCGCCATGCCAACGCAGCCGCTGGGGCCTTCGGTGGAGCTCCCTATGGGGCCACGAATCGTTTGAGGGGTGTGCCGTGATAGTGGGAGGAGGGAGGAGGGAGGGGGGATGAGGCGGAGGAGTGATAGTGGGAGGAGGGAGGAGGGAGGGGGGAGGAGGCGGAGGAGGAGGAAGGAAGGACGGAAGGAAGGAACGAAGGAGAGGAGACGCGGGGCGCTGTCTCTTCAAAACGAGGACCCAACACCACAAGCTGGTTGGGAAAAATTCGATGGCCCGCTCGGATTAATACCATGATCCGCGGGCCCCATAGGGAGGGGGCTCCCGTTTGAGACTTCCTCGCAATTCACTCACAAATGTGGCCTGGGAGTGGCGTTCTGGCAGCGCGAGAGCCCAAACGTGGCGACAACTACACGAATTGGATGACCCGCTCGGATTAGTAACATGATCCGAGGGCCCCATAGGGAGGGGGCTCCCGCTTGAGACCTTGCAATTCACTCACAAATGTGGCCTGGGAATGGCGTTCTGGCAACGCGAGAGCCCAAAAATGGCGACAACTACAAGAATTGGATGACCCGCTCGGATTAGTAACATGATCCGCGGGCCCCGTAGGGAGGGGGCTCCCGCTTGAGACTTCCTCGCAATTCACTCACAGACGAGGCCCAAGGCGAGTGAATGCGTGAGTGAGTGACTAACTGACTGACTGGTGATGATGATGATCATCACACTCTCTCACGCGCACACTCATTATCATCATCATATGTGAGTTCATGAGCGTGTGAGTGAGTGAGTGCTGATGAGTCAGTGCTGATGAGTCAGTGAGTGAGTGAGTGAGTGAGTGAGTGAGCTAGTAAGTGAGTGAGTGAGCGCACGAAGACAGAAGAGGAGAGGAGGTGAGGTGAGGAGGTTCCTGCGCGGGGTGTCCAGAGAAAACAAGAACCCCACGTTGGATGTGGGGAGCAATGAAAAAATGATGCGTCTCAAATTAGTATGATTCCACTCCGTCTTAGCCCAATGACCCCAAGCTGTCTCAAATGACCACGAAGAACTTGAAATGGTGATCCGATCGTCGAGGGGAACCGTGGTTGGCAGCAAGATGGCACACTGAAGCCCCCGAACGCCCCCCAACAAAAAACTCCACAGGCCCCTAAGAAGCCCCCACGACACCGTCGAGAGGCGCCAGAGACACTCTCGGAGGAGCCTCCACAACAAAACTGAGGTTCGCAGACAAAGGCGAGAACGAGAAAGAAGAACTATGAGGAACGGAATACTGCTAATGATGACAACGACGAGAACAAACGCGATGAAGATGATACATTCTTACGCTGTCGTCGATTGAGTCTGTTTTCGGAACTTGAAGGACCACGGTGTCTAACGCGAAGCGTCAACGCGAATCTTGAATACATCGAACACTTGCCATTACCACGCGCGCGCGATTCGCGAGCGCTTGCGTTCTCCATCATCCCTCCCGCGGACTCTCCTCCACTCCGTCTCCTTTCAAGTCTCCTCAACATAACCCCCCCCTCATTCCATCTACTCCTCATCCCCCCCTCCTGGCGTCCGTTCCCTCTCGAGGCGGAGGTGAAGGAGAAACGAGGCGCGCTCCAGATTCTGAGTAGTCTCCCCCGACAAGCGTTTCAGACAACTGCAAGGTGACCCCTGGCCTCTCGGGTCCTCTGATGCCCCTCCGACGCGCTCTTGAGACCATGTGGAGCAAGCTAACGAAGAATCCCAGACACACACACACAACACACCGCACGGAGACTCATGGACCTCTGGGGGTTACACTCGGGTGCAGGGGGCGATCATGGGACATCCTCGAACTGTCGAGGACTGGCGCAGATGGATATTGAATATGCAGTGGGCCACCCTTCGAGTCTCTTGGGTCTGTCCCTGGAGTGCCTGAAGGATATATTGGGGCTCCCAAGGGTGCGTCTTCAGAGCATCTGAAGATGTTCGTGGGTCACCTTCGGCCATGTTTGCCCGTCTTGCAGATGTTTAGTGAGCTCTTTTGGAACTTCTTTGCCACCTTTCGTTCCGTCTTGGCTGCCTGCCTTCTGGGGCTTTCTAGGGCAGCCTTGGGGGCGTTCTTCGAGCATTGCAGGGCCGTCTTGGCGCCTTCAGAAGCGCTACCCAATATATGAGGAAGAGAAGTGCCAGAGAAGCAAGAAACACTGGACCTCAACATGCTTCTGAGATGGTTTGGCCGCCTTGGGGACGTTCTTGGCTCTTGGCTCCCCTTGGAGAGTCTCTTCACACATGTTGAGGTTTCCCTGAGCCGTCCTGGAGACTTCGAAGAAAGTCCCGGACCATCCTGGGCCATCTTGGCGGCCTCTGGGCGTCCCCCTAAACCACCTTGAAAAGCTCTGGAATCCGAAGTGGCCGCCCAGAGCTCCGAGAACGGGTCCTAGACCCTGAAGGCGTCTGGCGATCTGGGGGATTGCATCGGCCCCTGAGATCTCTTGAAGCGGTCATGAGGACGTTGCCCCTCTTTGGGCCGACTTGGCGCCCTCCTCTGGGCCCCGTGGGAGCCTTCTGGGGCCTCTTCGGGGTTCTCGGGGCCCTATTGGGCTGTCTTCGTGCCCCCTTGGGCCGTCCTCTGGCAATCTTGGGCTGTCTTATGCCCTTCTTGGCCATCCCAGGGCCCTGTTGGGGCCGCCCTGGGGCACTCTTGGGGCTGCTGGGGCCGTCTTAGGGTTATCTTGGGGGTCTCCTTGGCCGTCTTACGCATCCAGAAATTCGAAGTGGCGAAAACCTTCACTACAAACACCCAAGGGTCATCAATGACTTTTGGCTGTCGGGTCCCTCTTCAGTGGACTCCAGGGCCGCTTTCGGGGCTTCTAGGGAGGCCTGTTCAGCGTCATCGACGGCTTCTTGGGGCTATGCTCGCCCTCTTGGAAGCACTTGGAGGCCCCCGCAATCTCCCGAAACAATCCCGGGAGCGCCCTTCCGAGCACAGTAGTCCGCCCAAATGGCCCCAGGACCCCCCAGAGGGCCCCGTCACCCCAACGGATGGTCCAGGTGTGTTTGGGCGCGGAGCGCGCCAGGGGCGCCGCCGGAGGCGCCGCCGGGGGGGGCCCAGCGCGGATCCAAGAAATCCGCGCGGAGCGCCAAATGTTTGTGTTTAAAGCATTTTCTTCTTCAAAGGAAGCTGCAGGGCAGGTGCGCGGCGCAGGAGTAAAAGCGACGAGGCGCAGGGCCAGACAGACGTGCCATATCGGCATGCGCGCATACTTTGGAGGCCAGTCCCCGAGAAACCTTCCACAGGAGACCCCTGACCCTGCGAGACCCCCGAACGTCAATCAATTTCGGGAGCGGCGCGCCGTCCATCGCAAAACCATCGAGACCCAGGAAACCCAGGGCACCCTGGAGGCACCCAGGGTGCCTCTCGGCCTGGGTCTCCACTGCAGGCCTCCCGGGGTCCGCGCGGATGTCTGCGGCCAGCGCCGAGGCCCCCCTCCCCTGGCTGGCGCGCGGAGCGCGCCCGGGGCGGCGCCAGAGGCGCCGCCAGGGTTGTGCCAGCGCCGAGCCGAGAAATCTGGGCGGGCGTCAAAACGATCATGTTTACGTGTACCTAATATGATTCGTCCTGCTTCTTTCTTCCTTTTCTTTCTCTTCTTCTTCTCATTATTTTTCTCTTCCTCTCCTTCGGTTAAAGGGGCAGCCGCAAATAGCCACAGCCCGCGGTGGAAATTCATCAGCAGCACTGCGCGCCGTAAGCTTGCAGTGTCTGCTTCGGGCAGAAGCCGACGCGGCTGCCAGCCTTCGCAACAGTTACCCCGTCCTTCGTCACTTTCGGGGCTCCAAAGGACTGCTCGATGACGACGTTCCTGCCCTTGGGGCCCATCGTCACCGCGACCGCATCTGAAGATTGTCTGCTTGTTAACGGGCCGGCTCTCTGTCGACGGTCCCCCCGAAAAGCATGCTCGCTACGATCGAAGCCTTCCAGGTGACAAGCACTATTTCAAAGTCCCCCCTGATCCCATCTTATGTATATGTCCTTCAACGCGAGCACGGGTTCCAATTGGATTCCACTCGGAATAGATCACTCACCAACGGCGTTGTTCATAATCGTGCCGACGCGGGCGCATCACCAGCTGCCTGATTTCGCTCAGCATCGGCACGATGCATCCAGAGCGAATTCATGTTACTGCAAACGCCGTCAGCGTAAACCCTCGCAGGGGCTGTGATGCAACCTACCCAAAATGTCTTAAACACAGGGGCGAGAAAACGATCTTCGAGCCTGCCTTCGAAAATTAAACTCTGTTGCCGCTGGTATACGGTGTGGCGGGTTAGCGGTGTGGTCTGGATTATGGTTTCTGAAAGAATGCATTTCCGATGTGGGCACTGGCTGCACAAAAAGACTCCTTCTGGAGAACCGCACGCAGATTCAAAGACCGGCCTCGCCTACAAAATCCTATCGCACCACGCCGTTACGGGGCCACACCGTTTGCCCGCCATTGGAATCTGCCGCTGACTCACACGAACCCACGACACCCTCCGCTTAGCCGCGGACATGAGACAAACATGTATTAACCGCGTCGCCCTGCGCCTTCTATCCGTGCCGTGTCTCACTGCGGCTGCCATGATCCGCGTGCTGCAACTTGCGCAAAGCACCGCGCGCGCCGTGTCCAAACAGAGCCGCTAAGAGGCCACCGAGAGGTCCCGAGGACCCCAACCATCAACTCAAACGATGTAGAGCGAATGCCGTACCACGCTAAAGCGGTGTCTCAGACCTCTCCTCCAGAACTGCGAACCACCCCCAAAACAGACTTAACTAGAGGAAAATATATTCTGCAGTAGCTGCACGAAACGCAGCTCGGAGGGTGGCCCTTCCATTACGAAGCGCGAGCCATGTCTTAGGTGTGCCGTGGGCTCTGAAGACCCGCATATGCGCGCCCCCACTGGGGCCATGGCTGGGGTTCCCTATGGGGCACGAAGTGCGTGAGGGTTTGCCGACATGGCTCGAGTGAATGCGAATACCTGAGACACTTCTACATTGGCACCAGAATGGTTGCCGCGGTACCTACGCTTCGGATTCCAAGACCGCTACTGTGATGCTGATGCGGCGGTCGCACTGACAGAGTATGCAACGCTGCTGCGGTGTCGATGGTCAAACTCGAGGCTGCTAATGCAGACCCCGGCGTCAAACACAGTCGTCTTGCACAGCACACTGAAGTGCTGTTGAGCGTTGGGCCAGGGGATGTTGCCGTTGCCTGTGCGGACGGTCCTTGCGCGCAGCGCCTCGGCATGGCACTAGCCACAAGCTGTATATCGGCGGCGCGCCCGGATGGGAAACGAGAGGGGGCGGGCGTCCTCAGCAGGCGCGATGGCCTCTGAGGAGCCCCGCGGCCTTCTGAGAAGGCCTGCTCCTGCCCGCCAGGCGCGCCGCCGATCCTTGAAGTAGAGGAGGGAAGAGTGGAGGAAAGATGGGACCAATGTTTTTGTTTGCGTTTTCTTCTTTACCCACGATGGAGACGCAGCCGCTGAGGCCCCTTAAACGCGACCTGGGGGCGAAGAGATCCTCCTTCTGTTGTTCCGCCCTCCTCTCGCGGTGCCCCTGTACTTTGACACGATGTTGTATGAGGCGCGTTAGCTGTGATAGGAATGCTTGGTTAGAGGACTGGTACCATAGTGTACAACAAATGGGACCAGTGGGTGCAGTGAGTGTCCCGTCATGAACCCGCTCTCCTGCAAGGCGGTTGCAGCCCTCGAGCATCAGGGCCCTCGCATCGCTGCCATGGCGGATGTCCTCGCGCGGCGGCTGCGCGCGCCAGCCCCCCCCCCCCCTGCGCCCCCCCCTCCTTCGCGACGCTTCCACGGGCCACCTGCCTGCCCACACGCCCCCCCGCAAGCGTATGTCAATTCAATACGAGGCATGGAGCTTATGCACATCCACCGCGTTGGGAACTGATCGCCCAGGACCCCATGGGGGCGGTGGATATGGATATTCTCGGGCCCGCGAGGGGGTCCAGAGATATTCATGACTTACGGGACAAATCGATGTATGCAGGAAACTGCAGGGATGACGAAGGCGGGACACATAAGAAATTAGGTGTCAAGGCGGACAGAGGAAGGGAGAAGGGAGGCGGGAAAGAAAAGGAACGGAGTTTTGGTTCTACCTCGCGTGCGGCGGAAATTGCGGCTGCGATGGCTTAGAACCAAACGCAATCGTGCTCAATCACGCTGCCTTTGCGGTCACCACCCGTGTGAGGTGACCACCTGGTTGGTCTGGAGAGCTTGCCCCCGTAGGATGCCGCCAGAGAACACAACCATACATAGGTTCGGCTCGCGCAGAGGGATCACGTTCAGGCGTTCAGGTTTACAAGTCCCACCCAATATTCTAAGCCCTCAGATGCGAAATTGTGCAGCACAAGCTCAGTGATGGAGGAAAGATGAACTAGGAGGAAAGTGACCCAAAATGGGATAGCAAGACGGAGGGAGGATATTTCGTCACTGGATGAGCCTGAAGGCCGACTGCAGAGGGATAGGGGAGGAGGAAACCAAGAGAAAAGGAGACCGTTCATCGCAGGAAAAACTGCAGAAAAGCAAGGAACCAAACAACAACATCCCAAACGCTCGGGTGAGCTTGCCCCCCGCCCGCCCCGATCCCCCATGCACCCGGCATATGTGCAAAATCATCGAGCATCGAATCAAAAAATCGGACCGAATCGGCATGTCAGTCGGATTTGGGCCGAACCGACACGGAGTCGGAATCGAATCGGATCGGCCGCGCCAGGACGCACAACAGCGCTTTGCAAGCGTCGGGCCGAATCGGATCCCAGGGAAGCAGAAATCGAATCGGATCGAACTGGCCGAAATTGGTATCGAAGCTGATCGATCGGATCGAAGTGCGCCGCGCTGTGACACGGGCGAGGTCCGGCCGAGCCGACGAGGAGGGCGGGCCCTGAGAAGCGCTGATCGTCTTGTACACGGGCAGCTAGTTTGAAGGGGGGTGGGAGGCCCAACCATGCGCTTCGCTTAAGGCGAAGCCCGTATCCAAATATGTTGTGCCTTAGTAGCGAATGTCCCAGAAATGCGAGATCGTCGCGGGAGCGACGGGCCATGTCGAGCGATGATGTTTTCGGTCTCAATGGCAAGTCGTAGCCTCACGATGAGGCGCAGTCATGCGTTGGCGGCCGGCCGCTTGAGCACAAACGGCCGCGGACAAACGCCCGCTATCTCTCACTTTTGCCCCGGCCTCCTGTAGAGTCGGGGTAGGGGGGGGGGGGGAAGGAGGCGAAGCGTGAGTCCGCTGCCAGTTGTAAAGCAAAACGTTATATTACAGAAGGTAAGCAGCAGCAGGCGGGCTCAACAAGGCAGGTTGGCCCGCGCGCAAGCTCCCTTGCAAGCAAGTTGCATCGCAGGCAAGCATATGGCTACTCTTCAGGCGGCTCAGACGACTGGCCAGCCCCGTATGGAATGTGTCGTTTTTAAGTCATGTTCGAACGTTTGCGTTCCTCCCATGACTTGTAGGAGCATGTCTCTGTCGATGCTCCCTTTGGTGTGGCCGTCTGCGGTCATATCGCGAGTGTCGCACCACTGTGCACAATGTACAATACCTCGCTCCATCATCTCTCGTATCCAACTGATGTGTCCCAGAAGTGTACGCCCAGACGGTTTCTTCAAGTCTTTGCTTGACAAGAACTTGAAGGCATATTCAGCATCGATGGTCAAGGTGACCTCAATGCCCAGGCCGCCCATCTCAAGCACGTCTTTCCACTGAGTGGGCGTCGGCGGCCCTGCGTGGAGTCCGCGCAGAGTAACCGTCGTGGGATAGCAGTCCTCCGAGTTAGGGGCTGCTGCAAGTGTTTCCGCTGAGTAGCTTCAGCGAGCCTGCAAGCGACGGGAGTTGCAGTGCGCGTCGACAAGATGGATGACGGGCTTACCAGTTTGCGTGCCCACGCCTTAGCAGGTTTGCCCCGAAAATGCCATGGCCTTTGACTTAGTCATCGGCATCTCCGTTCAGACGTCTGTAACCAGAGTCGCTGTGCAGGTCCTCGCCCGTCGGAGTCATCGCTAAAAAGCACGATATTCTTAGGGCAGGCCAACAATTTCCTGGTGATCGCGCTCGGTCGTCGCGCTTGCACGTTGGTCGGTTCTTTGGCGCGCTGTATACAACGTATACCGTTAACCGCACTTGCGTGATACGGGCGCACGCCAAAGCGCCTCTGAAGCTGACAAACAGGTCAGTGACCAACTTCGACGCCTTGGCCTCAGCGTCTGCGCCCGTGAGTTCATGATGTTGGATGGGACGGAGCTGTTATATTTCCATCTGGATCCAGTGTAGCATTGCCGTCGCCGTCCTTCGTGTACCTCGCGTCGCAACAGGTGCGTGTGTTTTGTTGTTTTACACTTGCCGGAAATATCCTCGCCTCACCTGGCGCACTTGTCGATGGTGTCCCCAGTGCCGGCCGCGTCTTATGTCAGCAACATGCTTAGCTGTGAGAAGGTTAGAGCCTGTCTCAGCCTCCTCGTCGTAGGACGTGGGTTGGGGACCAAATCCTCTCGTAATCTTCCTGAGCTACCGTGAGGAGGGTCTTGGTGCATCCTTGGTGCCCGCGCCTAGTTTGGCCGTTGTAAGCAGCGTTTTGACTCATCGCAGTGCTCAGATCCAGTGGGGGGATGGGGTCCGAGCGTGGATGCTGACCGAGGTGGCAGCGCGAAGCGCGCCACGCGCTCCCCCTCACCAGTTGCTTCAGCAAGTTCCTGATAAGTGAGCCGCTTCAGGGGGGCCATGTTGATGTCAGGGGAGGCAATGATCCACTGCTTCCTGCGCGCTGCCGCGCCAGGGAGCAGTTGCTGACTCGGCCGCCGCGCCGTTCCTGATAACATCTCCACATCGAATGCTTCGAGGCCCATGGAAGCCTGAAGTGCCGGGCGCGCTCTGATGGTACGTTCCATCTCGCCCATCTCGTTCTTGAAGAACTTCCATGTACATGCGTATCTCGAAGTACTGATGCTTGACGCTTTGGACAGGTCCTGTATCTTGGAGCACTCGTTGTCAAACCATGTCTTGAGTTCAGTGCGAAGGGCCTTCGATGCCTTGACTGGATTCGCCTCGTTATCAGCCTTCGTGAGAAGGTCGCCCTCCTTGACGACTGCAGCTCGTTTAGCTGCAGCGGTCACGCGCGCGCGCAGTGGTCGCGCGGTCGAAGTCCAATAGATTGCGCTGCTGTTCCGATAGCACTACCTCTGGCATACTTGTCACGAAGAGGAGTTCTCCATATTGTCCGTGCTCGTCGGAGTCCAAAACATAACTGTCGTCTTCGTCCGTGGAGCATAATGGGACATAGTCTGCCCCCGTGGTGTCTATGTCCTGTGGGTTGCCCCGCGTTGGCCAGTGCCCCCGCTGTTCTTCAGCTACTGTGACCAGCGCTCTGTCGCGGGTGATCATCTCTGTGAGTGCAGTGTAGAGGTCGTATATTGGAGCTGAATAGTTGAATCCAGTTGTTCTCTTTCATCTTGCAGTTCTGCGCGCCGCACTTCCATAATGTGCGCCTCGAGGTCCGCCGCTGATTCCGCATGGATGGTGGGAAGCCGCCCGCCTTCATGCTGCGGTTCGACTTCTAGGGCTTCTCTGGCGCTGTTGCCTTGCATTGGCGCGTCGGCCGCTTCTTCGAACTTCGCCATGTCTTGGTCGGCGCCGGCTTGAGGATTGGACTTCAGGCACTGGGTGGTCCTAGAATGTGCTGATCCAGATATATCATAAGCATAGGGCACTGCCTTCGGCTTAGTAGTAGTGGGAGCCTGGGTTCACGTCGGTGTCATAGTGTACCAATGTACAGCTGTCAGCATAAGTCACCGGATGTAGCTTGTGGATAATCTTAGCCAACCTGACAAAGACCACGTTCTCGATGCGAAACAAGTTCCTGATGAGAGATTGAAGAATTACAAATACTTTGGGAGATAATCGGCCCGCGCTCGTCATCTGGAGCAGTCCCTTATTGGTCAGGAGGTAATCAAATGTCATAGCTGGTCGCCCCGCAGGTAGACTGGCCACGAATGGCGATGCAGTCCGCAATGCTGCGCTGCCCGAGTAAATCCCTCGAGCGATCAAGGCTTCAATGCGTCGTGAAATGTCGCGCATCGCCGCGGCGGGCTTGCGTTGGACTTGACACCTGTCGGGGTCCTTTCGCGCGATCGGGGAGGGTCCATTCCAGCCGCCCCATCCGTCCTTTGTAGTAGCGGAGCGACGATAATCAGCAAGATCTCCCTCCTCATAGTAATGCTGACCAGTGGTGATTGTCTTGGTCCGTAATGCGCGGCTCGTTTTTTTGCGACTGCAGTGGCTTGAATAATAGCCTCAATGCTTATCCGGCGGATGGCCTGTTCTCGAAAGTGGTCGGATGTTTCTGTCTGCTGTTCGTGGCCCAGAGCAGGCAAGTCGGGTCGCGTGGCTGGGTGCCGGTCGAACAGCGCGCTGCATGGAGATACCTCAGTAAAAAGAAAGCAAACGCATTGGCGGCAAACGGGGCTTCATGCAGTTGACGGGCAATTACAAGAGGTATGTCTAACCTGTTGAGCTCAGCCTCCATGGCGTGAAGTCGGTGTCGTAGTCTGCCATCTCTGGCCTCGATAGTCGTAACATGTTGTCCACGCGCACGTATCCTCAGCTCAGTTATCTTTGCCTTCCGGATTGCCTTTGCGGCGTCGTCGTTGAGTGCTCCTTCTTCGTCGGCGTAGAATACTTTGGTTGGAGGGCGAAAGAGGGGGTCTGCAACAGGGGGTCTTCAATGGGGGCTGAATGGC